ATTTCAAGCCGCTGAGATTGTGGTAATTTGTTATGCAGCATACGTCACTGATTCTCACAGGGAGAAGTTAACAGTAAGGAGACCAGATGCTCAGAGAATACAATGGTTTTCCTGGTGGTTGATTTTCATGTGGCCACAGAAGAAACTTCACTAGATTGAGATTTCATACTGAACATTTCACGAGTAGAGACAGATATTTTCTTTTTTTTTAAGGCAGAGGTTCTCAAACATTAGCATACATCAGAATCACTTGTAAGCCTTGTTAAAACTGATGCTGGGCCCCACCCCAGTATGTGATTCACAGTTCTGGGGCAGTGCCTGACAATTTGTCTAAAAAGTTCCCAGGTGGTGCTGATAATGCCGGCCCAGGGACCTCACTTTGAAAACCACTGCTGTATTATAAATAAGAAGTTCTAGTTATTTTTAGTATTTTATTTCTGCACCCAACCTTTTCCATTTATGTGAAAATATTTTGGCAAGATTTTTTAAAACAAGGTTAGGGTAAAGAGAAGGCACAGAACTTGACATACCTTTGAGCAGTCCAAAGTACTTTTTATTCTGTGATTAGTTGTCTCACAACTTTACTTTGGTGGAGTGATAGGAAAGTGATTGGAATAGATTTAAAAAAATTATGTTGTTCTCCCACAGGTGAAGGGCCAGTTTATGGAGCCTACAGGATGCATGTGCTTTCCCTGTTCTCGGTCACACTCCCAGCTCTGGAGTGTTGGCGGTCAAGCTGCATCTGCCATCCGTGGTGGCTCCTGGGGCCCTTGCTCCCAGGTGGCAGGTGCTGCAACCCTGCAGGAGGTGCTTAGGAGAAACAGAGAGTCTTCTAAGCACATCAATCCTGACAAATCACTTCATTGTGAATCCCTTCCAGATGTAACAAGGGCATCAAATGAGCAAAAATGAAGTCTTGACTGAGATTTGGGGATTTTACCAAGTACAAAGCCCAAAAGATTAAAACAAGAAGACAAATCTCTTGCCAGCAGGTGTGGGTTATGCAGGGCTCTGGAGCACAGATCAGGGTAAGCCAAGAGACGGGGAGAAGCAGAGAGAAAAGGTTCATGTAATTTTTATGAATATGACCTGGAGAGAGCTTTGGAATTAGATTACACCAGGAGCAGAGAGTTAACGTTATTTCAAAACAGTTTAAGAATTATTTATTTGGAGGAACTCAGTATTATCATGTTTTCCAAAATTATCCCAGTTCTTCACGCTTTTCATAAGACTTGCTAATAACCTGGATGGGGGAGAGGGCTTCAGGAATCTAACTGGAAACATCTGTTAAATTGAATATGATAATCATGTCTTGTTTTTATTATTCTGCTCTTGATGCAATCTTGAAAGAGAAAATTGAGTGATTATCTGCATAACTTCGTATTTATATGCAGAATGTAGGTGTGCCTTGACCTTGCATTCCAGGACAGATATGACTGATCTTTTCCATTAGAACAGTATGGGTCACCCTAGCTGCCAGCTTTTATGATTTTATTTTCTTATTTTTTTTCCTAAGGAGATACAGGCACTTTGTGGGCCTTTTCCAAGCTGCTACTGAATGATTGATGGTTAGGCTCCTTTCAACCCAAGCAATGTGGGGCGTCTAAAGCTTTGGTAATCGTATCTAAAGTCTAACGACTTTAAGACCATTGCCAGAATATCCACAGCACAGAGGTTTGGCAACTTCATTTAATCATAGCAAAAGGATTACAAAGTGCAAAACAAGCCCTTGAAACAGCTATGAAACGGGCCAGTTCAAAAACTGACTCAGGCCAAGAAGTTGCATAGACTCGCTCCTTCTTACAGTTGCCTTGTGTTACACCCCTCGAATTGCCTCCTCCTTGGCCAAGGTTGGCAGCGTTTGTGACACACAGAAGAGAAAAGATGTCCAGGGAAATTGACTTTAGGCCACAGAAATAAACAGTGCCTATGAGGAAGAAGTGAGAATGTCAGGCTCAGGGCTGGTGACCCCCAAACCATGGTGCCCAGTTTATACTCTGTAGGCAGACGAAAGAAACAGTCGTCCAGGGAAATTGACTTTAGGCCACAGAAATAAACAGTGCCTATGAGGAAGAAGTGAGAATGCCAGGCTCAGGGCTGGTGACCCCCAAACCATGGTGCCCAGTTTATACTCTGTAGGCAGACGAAAGAAACAGTCGGCCTGGTGAGATCTTCTGAAAGAGAAGCCAACAGGCAAATTTAGAACCTGCCCTATAAAGTAAGAAACTGCAGCTATCCCTGATGCTTTTTTTTAAACCACTAACAATACAGTTTGCATTAAGAGCAATAGCTTCTCTGCCATTTAACAAATGTTTTCTGATCACTGTAGGAATTAAGGGTGATTTATGATGAGGCGCTGACCTAGAATTTCTCGATTACAACCTCAGCTTTAGATGCCTCTTCTAATCTCCCTCCATGTACGGGAGGTCTGAGGGGTACTTGTACAGAGATGACTCTGGAGGGTGGGGCTGGAGGGCCTGGGCGATTCCATGGAAGTCATGGAAGAGGCTAGGAATAAGAGAGTGGGCAAGAAGGCCTAGAGAGGCCAGCACTGGTTAGGTGCTAAACATCCCATTTGCCTGGCTCTCACGTGCACAAGTTCCTGGACAAAGTGAAATTATCACACAAAACCCACAACATTCAGCGCATGTTTCTATTAGGCAGTTTTAGTCACTACAAAAGTGCAGATGCAGACTCCTGCGTAAATCTGATTTGCCATGCTGGGCCAAGCTTATTTTATTACATACATTCTGCATCCTAAAAACTAATAACTTCATATTGTAAACATTAAGCATACAGAGTTAAAATTCAAGGCCACATTCTATCATTGATTGTCTCTTTTGTCCTGTGTCTTTGGCTGGCCGAGATCAACTCGTAGTGTATAAATGCATAAGTTATATAATTATTATATAAAAAGGAAAAAAATGGGCTTGTATACTTCATTCTGACAAACGCACAGCGTTTGCGACTCAAAAAGGAAAACTGGAGCCCGCCCACCCCGAATGCCTATGTGATTTCTGATTACGGAAGCCAACAAGGCCATCTCTTACCTGACCCTGTGGAGAGCAAAGCCCCCACATAATGACGAGGTCCTGAATATCAAACAATTCCAGTTAAAGTTTTCTTTTGACAAACAAACAAAGAGATATATATTTTTGTTTCTGAATTCTAACTACTTCCCCTTCCTCCATTACGCTATGTCCTTTCTCGTAACACTGGGTTTGGTATAACACTGACCATATTAAACCTCAAGTCTCTGTGACTTGTTTTCCACAGTCCCCAAGTGTCCTAAATCCAGTCTTCACTGCTTGAGAAGTTTCCTCCCCAGTCCTGTCTCCTCCTCCTCTGCTTTCTCCCATCCCTCCTCCTCCAGCCCTCTGTCTACAATCACACACTCACTCTCTGCACCTTCTCAGTCCCACCATTTGGCTCATAGCTCCTGTAACACTGTAAAGAAGTTGGAAACTTTGGGTCATCATCACAGTTTGCAAGGGCAGATAGCTCTCCGTCTGAGATGTATCTGATTTCAACCAAAACAGCGAAAGCCAATGTGTTCCATATCGACATCCGTGGATGGGTCATAGTTTCTCTTGTCTTTTCTTTTTTTGGTTTTGATATGTTTCTATTTTTAAATACAGGTAGTTTTCCTTAAAATGACATTGCAAATGGTATGTTAGGTCAAAACTGTGTTATCTCTATTGCTTTAGTTTAATATCAGTTCGCACTAGCAGGATCCCAAACTCTACTCTAAAGTTTATACACTTCTTAAGACCACTTTCTTTGGCACTTTGTTCTTATGACTTCGTACTTCTACATACAATGTCTGTTACAAGGTTGGTCCACAGATTATATGTCCATATACACTGCATTTTTAGCTCCTCTCCTTTTCTGTAGTAATACTGTAGTAACTGCCTCCTGCTAAGAGTCTCTGGATCTCTTCCCTGGCTTCCTTCCCCGGCCCCAGTCAAGCTTTTTCATTCCTCTTGAGGCACTTTTGATTCATGTTCTCTGATAGAGTTTGTGGCAAGTTATTGGAGATTGTATGCTGTGGAAAAGGCCTCTGTCAGGTCTTTAGTAGTAAGTGCCCAGGTGGGAAGGCATATGGCTGGCTGGAAGCCTAGTGTTAGGGTATATACCCCCAGTTGGTGAATTCCAGTATGGGTTTGGGGCAGCAAAAAAACTAGAAGATGTCACGGGGAGGGCTGGCGGGTGGGGGGCCACAAAGTTCATCTTCTGTGGGTGGGCATGGTAGGAGCCCATGTACTGGAGGTCTGAGGGGTACTTGTACAGAGATGACTCTGGAGGGTGGGGCTGGAGGGCCTGGGCGATTCCATGGAAGTCAAACTTGTAGGCATAGCGCTTGCCGTGGACTTTGGTCATGATGTTTTTGTCATAGTAGTAACGCAGGGCACGGCTGAGCTTATCATAGTTCATATTGGGTTTGCTTTTTCGTTCTCCCCAGCGCCGGGCAACCTCGTCGGGGTCTGTCATCTTGAACTCCCCGTTGGTGCCTTCCCATGTGATGCAGTTGGAGTTGGAGCTGTCTGACAGGAGCTCCAGGAGAAACTGCCAGAGCTGGATCTGGCCACTCCCTAGCAAAGGAAAGGGACAAAACACCAGTGAGGACACCTTCTGAGGTAAAGACATTCTCTCAGCAGTGACAGAAGTGGGTGCTACTGGTGTGCACCCAGACCACCTTTACCTGGCCCATCTACCCATTCCTCAGCTCAGGGGTGTAGGCTGCTCCTGCTCCACAGCTGCCTCGTCTCCAGAGAACTGCCCTTGGCAGGACAGGAGCTGCTTCACCCACCCCCAGGTATCCCACAGCCAGACAGACTGACACAGGGCACCACAGGCCAGTCCCCTTGCCTCCAGGAAGGACCAGCACAATGATGCCAGTCACGCTCCACAGCTCCCTGTGGGATCAGGCTGAAGCAAGAGTCCAGCTTCAGAGAGGCTTTAACGAGGCCAGAAGCTTCCTCTCCTTCCCCCGCCCCGCCCTGTCCTGCTTCCTCACTCCCCCTCTCCTGAGGACATACCCTTAATTACTCACGTGCACAAGTATCTTTATCCCAAGCTCTGCATCTAGGGAACCTCTCCTAAGAGAATGATCTTTGGTAACCATCAAGCTGATGTAACAGATCCAAGTGCTTTATGGAATGTAGAGAATTCAGACTGGGCAAAATTCAGGTTGGTCGCGTCCATTTCTGACTTCCTTAAAAGAACAGCCAGGCCAACCTGATGTTTGGGGGTTGGAAGAGCTAATTTTTCCTATTTTGTGAGGCAGAAAGGGCCATGATGTGGATGGCAATAATGACTTAATACCATTTATATTGGCTAGGTCAAGCAAAGTAATAAAAGTTACATTTAGGAAATGAACTTCTAAAGGTTTATGGAAAAAATAGAGAATGGAAGTAAACACCGTTATTTCTAACATAACATTTTGCTGGCGCTCAGAAAGCAATTCTGTCAAAACTTTTCCTAGAACAGAATTAACCCACTCAAAATGAGGAAGTTTAGAAAAAAGTTGGCTCCTTTTCAAACCAGATCACCCAGTTCCAGTATTTAGGCAAAGGCATCCTAACGGAAGTCCATGCATTGCCCCCGCGTTGCAATGCCAATTGTGCTAGGCAGCATTTCCAAAAGAAAAACTCAACAATGAACAATTGTGAATCCTCTTGGAAAGCAGAGTGGGACTCGGACTTAGTCAAAGAGATCTCATTTAGCTGGGTGTACAAAGTCAGAACTTCCTTGATCCCATTGCAAGCATATAGATATGGCTTTTATAATGTATTAAATGTAGAGAAAGCTGCTGTCTATATAAACTGTGACCTTCTGACTAATAAACGAGACTTGATCAGAATACTGTCTTGTCTCAATTTCTCGTGTCTCTTGTCCCATCCAATTCCCACTCCCCCCTCCAGGGTCCTCGTTGAATACCCTGCGGGTTGGGACATTTTTGGCACCCAAACGTGGGGCCTGGATATGGGGGACACCATGAGGAAGATGGTGCATCGGAGGGTCGACCACTGAAAATGAAAGAGTAAAACCTTTGTCCTCCGCGGGAACCTGCCGCGTCGGGATTTCTGCGTTGAATATCCCGCGGGTCGGGACATTTTTGGCGCCCAAACATGGGGCCTGGATACAGGGGACACCGTGAGGAAGATGGTGCATCGGAGGGTCGACCACTGAAAATGAAAGAGTAAAACCTTCATCCACCGTGGGAACCTGCTGCGTCAGGATAAGGTGAGTAAGCGCGCCCGATAATGGGACAAGAATTAAGAATTAAGAATCAAGAATCAAGAATTAATAATTAAGAACTAAGAATTATGTTGTCATGACATCTACATAAGACAGTTACAAAAAGCTTTAAAGACGCAAGGACTAAAGGTTAAAACAAGTGATCTATTAAGATTTTTTGATTTCGTGAAGAATCTTTGT